TCACAACTACGTCAGCAGAGGCCATTAAGAAGTGTCTTCCATGAATTTGGCTGATTCCTCTCGACAGATATTACTAGTTAACGTTAAAGTCACTAATTATACCTGTTTGCCTCTTGTATGTAGAGCTATCATTTTATAGGACAATCATAAAACCGACGAAAAAAGGTAAAGTTTGACCGAATGCAATTTTATTTTTACTAATAAAGGCTCGTCACATGCTATACATTCTGCAAGTGACATGTGTTTTATGTTTTTTGGTCATTATAGCTCTAAGTAGAAATGCTACTTAACATAAATGTCACACTCATTCGTCACCTGTCCCCTCAGTCCAAAGATAGATGCCATCGTCAACCATAACAACATTAGCCTATTCCTGAGCTATAACAGGACGCCTGTCTTATTAGACTTCCTTTGCCCCAGGGTTCGAGCAGCACTAAAAGCCCTGTATTACCTTGCCTTCTCCACTGCATTTCTCTTTTGTGACTGATTACCAAACGGACGGATGATGTTAAGGGCGGCAAAACGGCGCTTTACGTTTAGTCAAAGAAAAAGCACCACATTCATCATAAGAATATGTCCCACCGGCACCATAATCTGCATATTTTCACATAATTCCTTTTTAGCTTGGATGGTTTCATACATTTCTATGAAGGTTTCTAAATCGGTTTCGGAGACATGATATTGTTATCTGCATGGCGGGTTAGTGAGTCTTAGCAGGACCTTTGGGCTGGAGTTTGCATGAAATGACTGTAGCCCTACTGAGCTGAGACCGACTGCAGGTGACACAATCAGCTGTGAAATGTCACTCATTAATACTACTCAGTTAGTTAAAGCTCCATTTGTTATATTTCATCTAGTTTGAAAAAAAATCTATAAAACACGCATAATATTGACTATACACACAATATTATGTACATATTGGGCTCCTTATACCTCAGTATAAATTTTATTTCCTATTCATTTCATTCTTAATAGACCTTGACAGAGACGTTGACTAGAATAGTCTTGAAGAGCCATATTACAGAGTAGATCAGCAGTTGTCTAGCTGGTATCTGGATCCAGGACATTGGCATCTTTCCTCCAGTACTGCTCTGGAATAGAGCCCATCTACCCGCAGGCTGAAAATTAAACAAGTCCATCACCAAAGGGCTCATTAGGATTCCAGGAGTGGGGTGGAAATTCAAATTGAGTGCTTCATCTTGAATAGCTCATATCCAGGGCCAGGTTTGCAAGAGGGATGCTGATGAGGTGAGCTGGTTGGTGTTCTATCTTCCCACCAGGAAAACATCTCAATATCCATATCCCACCAAAGACTAAACTGCAAGGACTGCTCAGCTCTCAAGTCCTTCAGGTCAAGGGGGTAAATATGTGCAGCAATCTCCTGTGTGCGATGAGGAACACTGGAATATCTGCATCAGGAGCACTGCAATACTTGCATGCAACTCATTTCCTATAGACTTCCCTGAGCTTGTGATTCGAGACAGTTTTATATCCAGTAAGCCATCTGTCCAACCTGAAAAGCCCCAGTCCGTTTTCAGCTTGTATTCACCCAAAAGTATCCAAATTTACTTATACTGCTAACAGTTTTACCTGTTTTTAAATGGTATTTTGGTCATACTTTATCTGAATGCCATGTCTAACCTCTTCTATAAACTGCTATGTATGAAACTGAGTAGAGTTCTGTAAACACTATGACTTAATTTGCTGAGTTACATTCCCTTGCAGTAGGATTGACAGGCAAGTCCTTGGCTTCATTCGGCAAATGTTAGTTCAGTCTGATGACTTTCGGTCTTCCACACGCAAGTAGCTGGTCAACCATTTCTGTAGCTGAACACTGCAGTACACAGCAGCAGCTTCAACTTAATGTCTGCCCACACTGGGTCAGTTTGTCTTCAGTTAGTGAACTGTGCATTCAAAGACCAAAGGCGGTAACAAAAGGCAATGCTGTCTGCTATTACAGGTTGTGTTCAGCTGTCAGGAAGTAAAGGATCACGGCGTTTATGAGACACTCGGGACCTAGAAAATCGCACCATACATTGAATCTTAAGAAGCCTCAAGGAACAAAAGTGTTCTAGCTATTCACATGTGAAATTCTTCCTTTTTCATCAGAAAACAAAGAACAAATTTGGTAGCACTTTAATAGAGACCATTTACCAACGTATTCTAACACCACCTACTGAAGCACATTTTTTTTAACAATACACGAAAATGCACAGGGCCATTTTCCATGAATTATGTGCAATGATTAATCCCCAAAGGCTAAATAACCAAGAGCACTGAGCTTCACTCTGAAATACATGATAATTGAGCACTGTTAGCAGCTGACCTTCTGCTAAGAATCTATGGGCGATCGTGTGCATGGATGGATGTTCTTTATCAATGCTGAAAGCTCCAAATGCTCCTTAAAGTTCTCATTGTTTAAAAAGAGAATCATACTCCTATTATTGCTAAACATTACACAGCCATTTCATAGAGGAAATATATGAAAAATGACAAGTGATTTAGTTCAACTGGTACTTTTGACGCGTTCAGACCAAATATCTCTCTTGAATACCAAATGACTCAGTAACTGTCCGTCTTCTTACATGATAGGGAAAATGTTTTAGTATGTCACTCTCACATAATTCTCATGCTATACATAGTCCTCTTGTTTTTTCTGTACAGCGTTGGTATGGCTCCACCATCTTATATGTGACTGTAGCATCTCCTCTGTGAAGCATAAGTGAAAGGACCAGAAGTTCTCCTCATCCATCTCTTTTATGGTAGGACCCTATAGTGTCGCGGCATGTGGGACGAAAGACAAAAAGGGGGTTTATTTAGCTAAAAGGGAGCAGGGAAACAAATGACAGTTTGAGGGGTCAAAACCAGAAGGCGAACATGGGGAGGGACACAGGCGGACAGGAGGAGTGACGTCAATGACCGGACTGGGGCTGACGAGACAGACGGGAACTTAAATACGAAGACTAACAAGGGGTAACAAGCAACAGGCGCGGCTGATTAGGGCCACTTAAGGGAGGAGGCAGGCGGACAAGATGGGCTGGACGTAACACAAAGAGCTACCTCCAGCGCTGGAGTGGGACTGAGTTCCAGCCTGGGAAAGTCACACCCCCAACTGGTTTTGTTTCCCAACCCTCATCACCAACCCCCAAACAGGACGGCCCCCCACACTGACACTGGCTATATCGCTCTCACTTGTAACTCAGTTAAGAGCTTTTAATGAAGCCACATTACCTAAAATCCATAAGAAGCAGAAAACAGAGGCAAAGTAGTACTGACTTGTACTGAATTGTAGTGAGTGCTACTGAGTGCTTATACATGGCACAGGGTAGTAGTAAGTGGTACTGGGTAGTAATGTATGGGACTGGGTAGTGGTGAGTGGTATTGAGTAGTAATACATGTTACTGGATAGTAGTGAATGATACTGAGTAGTAGTAAATCATATTGAGTAGCATTGAGTGGTACTGAGTAATAGTGTGTAGTACTGATAGATATTTAAAGGTACTAAGTAGTATTGAGTAGTAATGAAAAGTAATAAGTAGTGCTGTGGTATTGGGTAATAGTAGAATCAAAGGAAGGTGCTCTTGCAGGGTGCTTTGTACAAGATTGAAAACGTACTCAGTTTCTCGGTGGAGTCTGTCTTTCTGATCTTTGCAGATTTGGTGACAAGCTTAGGAAAGATTGTGGAATCACTGTGAAAGTTACTAAGCGATCCACACATTTTTTTTTCAGTTTTGTCTCACTAAATTCTGCATCGTTATATACATACGGTTGAATCTGCCTGAAGCAGTTTGTTTATGAGCAAGGAACTGATTCAAAATGTTTCACCTTTAATATAAAACTGACATTACCATTTTAAAAGATCCGTAAGATTTCAAAAACCTATAAAATGTAAAATGAGGCACTGTTGTGGTAACACAAAATAATTGCTATTTCCCTGATATATTTATTTGCATTTCTTCTAATTATTTTAATTTATGCTATTAAGTATTTAGTAGATGTACTTATTTATATGCATCATATGTTGTGGCACTGGTCATGCTGAGTCATATTTTTTAGTCAGCCCTTGCCCTTCTGGCTGGATGTTCTGGATGTGAATGATTTGGGAAGAGGGCATAGAATTCATATCACCTTGCATCTGAGCCAGAATTTGTTATTTGCGCCCTGGGTGGGTGTCAGTGGGTGAGGTTTGGTCACGTTAATTCCTAGTGTATGTCACATCTGTCCAGCTCCTGCAAACCAAGGAGAGGAACCTCCCTCATGCTCCCTGATGTAACTGAGATGCGGTTAACAGGTGCCTGTTGTTGCCCTTTGGAAAAGTGAATGCATTTGAAATTTTGTAAGGTGATAAACTGGAACTTTGAGAGTTTCAATTTCAATTTATTTTTATTTAGTGCCTTTCACAACACAGTCACCCCAAGGCACTTACCATGTGTGTGGCAATCCAGTTATGGCAGGTGCTTAACAACCTGCCTCCATTGCTGTTGCTGGGGAACATGGGAAACTATGGTAAAACACTAAAACATACATGTAATGTCACAAATCATGCAGATTAAAAATCAAAGGCTTAGATTTGGGTATGTACGATAGGGACATGCCCCTACCTATACTGTGTCTTTCGGGGGGTCCCTACAAATTTTGAAATCAAACCTATGCACTTGTTAAAAAAATATAAAGTTTCACATTTAAAAAAATATATTATATATAAGATGTATTAAACCCGACTGAAATATATAAACATAATAACCAAATACATTTTAAATATTAATGGCATAATTAATGGAAATAAAAGCGATATGGAGTATATGAAAGTGTACAGGGCCTATGGGTTGGTTATTATTACGCATACGTCAGAGTACCCAGGTGCAGTCAGTCTAGATTAAATTATCCTTGTTTTTTAATTGACGTCCGTAACAGTTAGAAGCAAGCTGTGAGGCCATATTTATGAAGATAGGTCGAAAAGACCAGAATATGGATAAGATGCATTTTATACACACAAAAGTCAGTCATGCACATATTACAATATTGGTATTCTGTGCCGAGTGCGGCAGCGGCTCTTTATGACTCATCCCATCGTAAGTCCACCGGAGACGCGCTTCATTCAGGTGTCAACCCATTCAGGTCTGCGCAGACGCAAGATCTGAGCTCACTGCGTGACACTTGTCGCACATCTTGACTATAAAACAGCGATTCATTCTTTAAAGAAGTCCTTTCACCGATTTCTTTATAGACTATAAGAAAACGTGGAAGAAGGAAGCATCTCAGTAGATACACGCCATCTTCCAGGGACAGGCTCACTGACCCGGCGCCGCTCAGGTACTCCAAAAACTTGTTGGCTTGTTCTGAATGGTACTCCACAAATTAAGTGATGATAAGAGTGATGATCCTTCGTACGGTGTGCAGTATGCGCAGTATGGGTATCTATATGCAGATATATGTGTAGAGTGCCGTAATTTAGACTATACAATCAAAGGCTCAATTTGTCTTGCAGCAGTATTTCTTGTAAAAACTTGCCAACCATTTTCGTGAGCTTTTGCATTGTTCAGAAAAATGACCGTAATAAGCTTGGACTTTTTTCCACACTAAATAGCCTTAAAGATGTTGCTTTTATGAAAAGTGCCTCCAGAATTCTGTTTTTCCAGTTTTTAATAAATAAACAGTAATATTGCGATAATTGCTTAACTGAGATAATCCATAAAAACTTTTTTATTTAATTTCCCCGTCCAGGCTGGATTTTGTAAATGCCGATCTGGCACCTAACCGTGAGTATAAAGTGCGCTAAACTGCTTCCTCCTCAGATCCCCGCTGACCTCCTGATATGAAGCTCCATCTACTTGTGTCCATCGCGGTCCTCCTAGTCGCCTTTCTGCCCCGGCATGAATGCAGAGCCATCGAGCCCCCCGGCGCCCTGCCGGCTCCTGCCCACCAGCCTGCTCTACAGCAGCAGCAGCATCTTCCGCTTCTGGTGCGTCTCGGAGAGGAGTACTTCGTCCGGCTTGGAGATGGCGGTCGCAGTCAGTCAGTCATTCCGGCAACGTCCGCCGACGCGACCGTCAGAAAGGCGCTTGATCTACAGTTAACGCAGCGCCTCCTGCAGAGCAAGGTCGACAACCTGAGCCGGTTTGTCAGCAGCCTCGCCGAGCCGGCGGAGAGAGGAAGGCGCTCTGAGGAGCCTCCCATTTCACTGGATCTAACTTTCCACCTGCTCCGAGAAGTGCTGGAAATGGCCAGAGCAGAGCAGCTGGCACAGCAAGCCCACAGCAACAGGAAAATGATGGAAATCATCGGTAAATAAGCGTGACCGACATCCATGTGCCAAAGAAAGTTTAACATCCAGCACAAACACACTATTACATACCATAGTGCTGCTGTCACTATTTTCGTTCGTCCAATTATTTATCTACTGCCTTATTTATTTTATAGCTTTGACTATAAATCTGGATTTTATTTCGCTTGGTGGTAAACAGATTGTGTGCAAAATTGCAAGAAAGCTGTCGTCAATTTGTATAACTGTTGTAACAGTGCTGAAAGTGTAGCATTTACACAGAATCAACCTATACTTTGTCTTAAAAGACCATTTATTTTAACTAGATTGTAGAAACCCCACAAAGAGCCTAAATGAACAGCTCTTCCTGAAATTCAGTTCTACTGTACTTTACCTTGTTTAAGTTTAATAATAAACACGATATGAGCAACGAGTCATTTTTGTTGTGCCAGAGAATATCTACTATTTATATATTTTCAATAAAAGCTTACCTTCACATTGAGCTGTGTAGATTCTTCCCTGCTAAGCTTCCAGCATGTTAATGTTGTACGCAAGCGTTAAAAAAATCTGTTAAATAAATATTTTAATTTCATTTATATTAATACGCTGCAGTGAGCGCTGCTCTCTTGCGCTTCGTGGCCAAAACGCAAATGTGTGATCTAATGTTTAATCCCTCTTTAAAAGAAAGCACACCAGATATTAAAAAGGTAGAATGGAAGATAGGCTATTTAAGGGCCCGAAAAGGGTTCTCGTATGATTTCCTCAGTGATTACACCTATTAAAATAAATCGTAAATGACGCGACGAGGGTTAGGTGCATGCTTGTGCTTAATACCCAGGGAGTTCAGGCAGACTAATTACAGCGTAGTTAAATGTTTAAACAACTCACGTATCATTTAGGCATGACCAAAATAGTACATACAAAAAAGCCTGACATTATCTTCATATCGGCCAAACCACTGGTTATTTAAAAAAAGATAAATACCCTTTTTCTGAGTCTAGCATTACTTTCTAATATCTCGTATATCCAGATCATTTAATGTTACAGGGAGCTTGAAGACGGACGGCGGCAACAAAACACTTGAATGGAAAAATACCTGCGTGCACAAGCGGACTAAATGCAGTGCCGTGAACAGGCTGGGAAGAGCCCTTCGGCAAATTTAACTTAACGTCACGCTGATCCCGCTAAATGCTGGCTCTCATGCTTTCAGCACCTGAATATTTTAAATATAAATGCATAAATAAGAAAGTATCATAAATAAGCAATTTGAATTTCTTTTCCATTTCGTGGACTGAGTGCTCTCTTGAACCCCTACTTCTGGACTATCCATGAAATCTTAAATAAATTTGAACGATTAGAAGATACATTAACTTGAGCATGTTCTTTAATTAATATTTTTGACCTTGAAATACGTAAAATCCACCTTTCATGAACACTTATACAGGACAGGTTTAGAATGAACGTGAAGTTTATCCCCCGGAAACTCAGTGTCAGGTCCTCCTGTGTGCCACGCCCCCTCATTTACCTCGTGTGGAATCCTCTTGTTATCAGCTGTTTCTAGTTGTGTTTAATTAGTCTAATGTATTTAAGTGCTTTTTTGTGACCATTTCCCCAGTCCGGTCATTAACGTGATATCGTCGCTTCTGCCTGTCCTGTGCTCCCGAGTGTGTTTTTTACCCCGAATAGACCCCGTGTTCACCCGGCTCCTGTGCCTGCTTCCCCGCTCCGTGCGAGTGTGGTGCTGATACTCAGGGTGTGAGGTGCATTCTGACAGCAGACGCGCACAAATTTGCCTCACTAGATGAAAGCAGCGTGCATACACTGGCAGATCATACAAGCTGCACACACACTGAATCAAGCCCACAGTGCAGGAGCTATGAGGTTTTAGTACCTCCAACTGAGTGAATATGTCATGTGGTAAAACCAGCTGCAAGAATTAAACCAAATGACTTTTATTCAGGGAGATGTGACACCTTCCAGCCTGTGAATTGCTGGCCGTGATGATTTACATTTGTTCATGTAGTTGACACCATAATCTGAAAGACCGGGACAGACAGTACCTGGGGCGAATGCGGGTTAAGGAGCTGGCTTGTGGGCCCAAAGGGAAAATCGCAGGATTTAAACTAGCGACCTTCCAGTCGTGACTAGTGTCTCAACCCCCTGAGCCACGGCCCGCCCTCCTGCCTTGCTTATGAACCATATGTACAGTAAAAGGTACAGAGATACTTAGGTAAATAACTCTCCTGAGATAACCTAGGCAACAATTACATAGCTATTGTGCAATATCCTTCAGATTAGGAAGCATTAAACCGTGTTAAATGAATGCATTAATCAGCCCTATTTAGCCATTATGCTCTGAGTGTGGTGCAGGTAGTAATAACGCAGTGCTGCAGTGTACGTGAGCCTAGGTACTCCTCAGGGAATATTACAGGAAGACAGTACGGGAGCTTTATGTCGCACTGAAAAGCCACTCAGCGCTGCTCCTGCAGTCATAACACAGAGACCGGAGGTGGGAGTGCAGTCACGGTGTCCGTAGCAGATGTCAGGGCGCCTCCTGTCCGCTACCTTTCCCTCATCCCTCTGTCATCCTCTGCTTCTGCCCCCAGGTCATACACTAACACCCTGTGTGACAAAGGTCTGCGGCTGTCTATGAGCGGCATACACTTTAGTTCTGTTGTGTTGATTACAATCTGTCTGCAGTGTAGTTGATGTTAGTTGTTTTGCTAGGATGTCCGCCCAATGACTGCGTTGATTTGTTATTTTCTACATGTTATTGGCTGAGCTTGTTGTCACTCAGGAGTGTATATATAGATGGGCCCGCCCCTTTGATGCCCATAGTTGTGATTGGAGGAAATTCCCTTTTAGGCCACAGATATTATTTACCTGTAAATACTTTATTGTATTGCCATATTATTGTAATGCCCATATATAGCATATTGTTAATTGTTGAATGATGTATGTAAGATGATGTGTAATATGTATATCTACTTTCATTTAAGAACCATGTCTTCGCACCTACTCAAATGCATGCTTAGACACACAGAGCTCATAGCAGAAGTTGATGAATCTCTGCTTGCGCATAATAAAGTGCAGTTACAATAAAACCTCGCCTCCTTGTTCTAATCGAACCACCGGCAGCAACTGTCAACCCACCGCCGGCACCTGAGATACAGCTGGCAGATTCTTGAACGCTGCACAACACCCTGAATATGCATGAAACAGCATCTCGGAAAAACGCCACCAATGGAAACAGAGGAAAGTAAAACTTTCTGATGCAGAGGGACATTCAGTGCATTTATAAATCTGCCTTTGTTACCGTGGAAATGCGGTAAATATGGGTTAGCCTGCAAGAACTGCTCCTCTGCATAGTAATACTCATCAAAGATACTAGCTTTGCCTGGGGGGGTCAGTGAGAGCCATTCTCCCCGTCCCCAATTTCATGCTGCACTCAGGGGGTCCGGAACCTGATGATTACGTTCCCAGGATCAGTCAGTCCATCTGTTCTCACTTACAGGAGGAGGTTAAATTAAGGAGCATGGAGCAAACAAGTGGATTCAAGGAGTGCTTGTTTCGCTGAGCCTCCGTGGCACCTGCACTTTATAGATCCGTTACTTCACTTCATCGGCCACTCACTGGATACCATCCACCTTTGCACTGTCTGTATTGTTCGGCACTGCGTGTCAAATCCAGACCATGATTTACTTTCAACCAACCAGTTGAGTACTCAGTGACTGTGACTCTCTATGCTGAAATGGTTGGTTGAAAGTAAATCATGGTCTGGATTTTTAGTTTCTGGACCTGAAATTGCCACCTCTGCTGCGTGTATCGTCGTTAGTTTGTCATACACGAGTGCGGCTAAATGGGTAGGCATTCCAGTGCACCCATCACACAGCCAATAAGCATCTTGAATCTTGATTTGCAGCAAATATCCAGAAGCATTGATCATATTTTGTTAATTTTCCTTCATCACTGGCATCAGCAACAGTCCCACTGCTAGACAGTGTTTTCCTTCCAACCTCCAAAGCAAAACTGATTTTTATTTTTAAAAAGTTTTATTTCAGACCAAACTTAATAGTAATAGTTGCATTACTTAGTAGTGCTCTATTCTATGTTGGACTGAATATATCAGAATTTTTTTTGAGATCTGAATTCAGCATTTATTTGTAACTCACTAGCAAGATGATCTCTGCTTTACACTATAGCCATAGTGCTGTAGAACCCAAACATAGTCTCTGCTGAAAACGGAAGTGCTCAGAATTTACTCGGTACTGGTAGAAACATGAACGCCATCACATGGCGGTCTGCTGGAGCCAAAATGATCAGATGTTACACCTTCACTCTGCTTTAAAAAGGCTGTCGATTGCTTTGGGTGAATATTCCTTTGGGAGCCCTAAATACAGTACTCTAAGTTTCACAGAAAAGAAAATGCGCTGAAATATGTAAAATGTTATATTTCATTTATTGCAGTAGCTGTCCGTATTGCACATGTACAGTATATACATATATACAGTATATTGCACATGGCCACTTTCAATTCTATTCATGAAAATTTAGTTAAATTTATTATTTATGTAAAATTTCTGTTTTGTATTATTTGGTATATTTTATATGTGTGGAATGACATTTCAATACTGTATATTGTTGTATTGACAATAAACCAATCTTGAATAAACCAATCTTGCATAAACTAATCTTGAATAAACCAATCTTGAGTATAAAACATAGTCAAGCATCCATCTGAAGAGGGAAATGGAAAACCCATGGGGCAAATATAGACCTCACCAGAGTGGACCCAGTTAATCTGCATCTTCTTGCATCTCACTTGGGCCAAACTGGGGCTCCTGCACTCAGTGGATGGGCTCCCCCCTCCACCCAAACCATGCCTGCTCCCTCTTCCAGCATTCTCTATATCCCCCTCCTCATCTTCTGCAAGGAATAGTGTACCCAGCAACAGTCTGACTAAAAAAAACCCAAACGCTATATCTCACTAATCATCTAGCATCAGGCTATACGATGCTGTCAGTGATGTTCAGCAGAATTCCGGGCCTTCATGATTCTGACAATCCTGACAGGTCCGAAATTCTCCGGAAGCTTGTACCTCTCTCTCTCAACGCTGACGCTGGAGTGACCCAGACCCCCGTAGCCGAGATGCACTTGATGCCGGCTCGTGTTGAGCAGCTGTGACCTTGTTCTTGTTTATTACGCCACACTGGATTAAGCTGATGCTGGAGACGAAGGCAGATCTCTGCACAATCCTGCAGAAGCGGTCTGCATTCTGCGCAAGAGAAGAAAGAGAGATTAAAGTCAACACAGCTCACAGCACCAATTATGGAAGACTGGC